GGAAGCCGGGGGCAGGTGCCCGGCAGCCAGACCTGCTCCCGGAGGAGCCCCGCAGGGTGAGTGGGGCCCTGGGGGGTGTGCAGCAGCTGGGGGTACCCCCACAGACCAGGGTTTGGCTCAGCTGAGTGCCCAGGGGAGCTGCTGGGAGGGCAGAGCGTGCTGTAAGAGCTCTGTGCCTGCGTCACACACTACACCAGGCAGGCTTCAAGGTGGGCTCGATGCTGCCCTGCCTTCATTCATCGCTGTGTGCTGTAGGTCCTTCCTCCTGGGTGGCCTGGGGGTGGTGTGGAGAGGCTGGTTGGGTAAATAACCTGGGCGGCCTGGCTTTATCTGAAAGCCATCAGGAGGAGAGGCACATCTCCTGCGCTGCTGGGGCTCAGCCTGGATGCTCTCCTCCTCGGAATGGGGTCAGGGACCTCAGAGGCACTGCTGGGGGGCTGCAAGGGCTCACCTTTCCTTTCTCACTGCTGCAGCCCCACAGGGGCTGCCATCGAGATGGGGATGTGTCCCAGGGGCTGCAGGACACTGGGAGAGATCTGAGCTGGGAGTCTGGGCTCTGGCAACCTGTGGATGGAGGGGAATCCTTGGCAAAGTGAAAGGCTCCGTGTTTCGAGTGGCCAGCCCAAACACAAGTTTCACTGCTCGGTTTATCTGCTGCTCAGTGCTCATTTAGCCTCTCTAATATCCCAGGGAGTGATTGCAACAGGTAGACACTGCATGGCAGGTACCTACAAGGTGTCTGAAAACTGTCAGACTGGATGTGGCAGTGGCACAGTCCCATGGAGGAGCTGAGTTTAGCAGCTGATCCTATTCTGTGTCTCCTTGCTGCCTTTGTTTAGGAAGCAAATGGCTCTCTAACTGCATTGAATTGCCCGACTACCTTGCATGGCCAGGATCTAATTACCTCTGGAGCTCGGAGCTCTGTCTCCAAGAGGCACCGAGGCTTTTGCTTTTAATGACTTGCTCCACCGCGTCCAGAGTGTGACAATGTTGGGGAGCCTGCCAGGACAGGCTTCTGGTGCCACTGTGCTTGTATTGTGATGGCTGGGAAAACTAATAGGAGTTTGGATGTCCTGGGCCAAGGACCTGTGGCACAGCACTGGGTTGGAAACACAACAAATGGGTCTAGCAGTGAGCACAGCTCTCTGCCATGTTTGGGGAGTGAGCTGGATCATGTCCTGCCCTATCACAGTGCTCTGGCAGAGGGAAAGCATGGCCAAATCCAGCCATATAGCCCCAGCCAGAAGCAGAACAGCCCCCAAGAAGAGCGAGGAGTGATTGGGGAACAGAGCACAACCGACCTCTCCTCTCCCTCCCCGTGCCGTGAGCTCTCTCTGTCCTCCTGTTAATGTTTACAAGGCAGGTCCGGCAGTGTCGAGGTCTGTCCAAAGACCAAATCCCTCCCTGGCTTTCCTGGGATCCTTCTTCCTGCTGGCTAAGGCAGGGCCCCAGGGCAGTCACAGGGAAGAACAACCCAGCTCCCTGCTGTCTCCGTAACACTATCAGCCCTGTTCTCCCTCCAGCCTTCTCCAGCTCTGCTTCCCTGCTCGCAGGCGCAGGTACGCAGGGTGAGCTCCTGGGCCCTCGCCAGCACTCTGCTGCCCTGGCATCTCTGCTTACAGGCTACTCCTGACAGGAGGAGGGGGGGAAATGTATTTTTAGGGCTGTTGATCTGACACCAGCTGAGTTTCCTCTCCTGCAAGGTTGGGGTTCGGGGAGAGGGCAGGAGAGGAAGCCACAGGGCAAGCTCTTGCTTTGGTTTGTTTTCTGTGTTTAATTGGACCAAGGTCATTCCCTACCACTCTTATCTGTGGCAGATATTTTCATGCCTCTCTTTAGTCCATGCTTACAGTTTTACCCCAGGCAATAGCTACACAGCAGCTAAAATATTTGTTTATTAACAATGCACTGAGAAGCAACTATATTGTTAGAGCTCTGCTCACAGGTGGTGGTTGGTTTTTTTTGAACTGCTATTGTTATACTTGGGAAAAAGCAGCTTTCCAGAGATTAGCAGGAAGAGAACCCAAACATGGCAGTTTATGCATCTGTTGGCCTTGAGATATGAAGCTGCACTATAAATAATTGCTTATTATTAGGTTGGTCCTTGCTGTCTGGAGCCACAAGGTGCTCTTATGCCCCAGCCACCCTCTGTGCCAGGAATGCTCAGTGCCTTGGGGCAACTGGCTTCAAGGAGCACAGACCATCCAGGGAGATGCCATAGCACTCTGGCATCCCCAAAGGGCAGCAGCTCTGCCTGTGGCATGGCAGGCTTGCTCCCTTGTGTTTAATTTGGGTGCAGGAGGAACTGCTGTCTGCCTTTCAGGTTTTGGGGTTGGCACTGCTGGCACACTGACACCCCCACAGTCTCAAAATAGCTGGGTGAGGAACCTGGGTGATGTTAACATCTGCTTCTTGGGCAGCCTCAGACTTTGCCCCCAGCAGGACACACATGATGAAAGGAGACAAATTTGGCAGGGGAACACAAAGATCCAGGGTTTCTCTGGGCTCCCAAGGAGGAGGACATCAGTGTTCTGATGGCTTGTTGGTAAAGGGCCCATTATTGTCATGGATGAGGCATGGGTTTAACCCTTAGGTCTCTGGTTTCTGATGGAAAAGGGTCCTGAACTACACGTATGAATTCACAAGGGCACAAACATATGCAAGTCCTTCCTTTTCAAGTGGGTTAGCGATTCCTGATAAAACAAGGAACAAGGCTGCGAAGAAGTGTGTGTTCTGCTTGGACCTCCTCAGGGGAAAGGTCTGCTCTTGAAGGACATTTGCATTTTCCTGCATTTTCCTGGGAGAAGCAGACCCAATCAGGGTGAATGGGCTGGGTTGGGTGAAGGACATCCTGGGAAGTAGATAAACCTCAACCTCACAGGTTTGTACACACTGTGTGGGCTGGGCAATCTGCTGAGACCTTCCCTGTCACCAGCTTGCCTTGCTCCTGCCTTCCTGCACCACTCCTCTTCCCTTCTCCCTTCCTGCAGATGAGTAATGCCACACATGCTGTGGCCTCTCCCGTGGCACCTGGCACTCCGGAGCCTAGCACAGTGGCCAGACTGGCCTCAGCACCCCCATTCCAGGCTGTTGCCCTGCTTACAGCTGC